CCAAACAGGGACTTGAGCAAGTATAGCTTGTATAGCTTGTGCAGCTGAAACTCTAGTATCCCATTGTGGAGATTTTAGTAGAGTACAAACTCTTGCTAATAAATGATGTAAATCATGAGGATGTAACCTTTGTGCTTCTCCTAACTGTTGTGCTGCAGCTCTTTTAGTTACTGCATTTGTCCCTGTTTCTAATAATATGAATAGCCTATCCAGCCTAATAGAAATGCATTATAATTGTCATAAAATTCTTTTTATTATTATATAAAGTTATAAATAATAATCTATTTTATAAAAATATATAAATCTTACTAATAATATTTCTTAATTATTAAATTATATTCATTATTATATCATAATAAAATATTTTATTTTAAACAATAGTAAATATTATAAACATTCATATTACTTTATATATTTTATTTCACATAAATAATTATCAGTATTTTACCTTGATGTCATGTTTATAAGTAATGTTGATCAATGAACAGCTATAAATCCCTAAAATCAAAATAAGATAATAATATATATATATATTTATATATAATTTTTACAATAAATAATTTTTACAAATATAAATGAGAGATTATTATTAAAAATTATTATATATAATATTAATATTTACAAGGAATAAATATATATATATATATATATATATATATATACATATATTTAAAATATTGTTAAATATTACAAAAATTCAATTAAAAATATATGGAATGCACCAGCTGTGCAAAATAAAATGGAGTACATGAAATATCAAAATAAACAATGTATTATTTATTATTTATTTAATAAAAAGAAGAAAATGATCTAAATAAAAAAAATCGATTGTCAAGTTTAAGAGCGAAAGTTTGTTGCAGTTTGATTAATGAAAAAAATGATAGATGACATCTGCAAGAATGTTTTTTAATCGATACAAAGTTTGGAGATCTATATAATGAAAAAATTGGGGAAAATGATATAAGTTTTAATTAAGAAAATTAACCATATCATGATATTTTTTTGAGATATTATAAAAAACACAATATGGACATATAAATAAATAGTGAACAGTCGTACAGCATACCTGATTTTAAAATACAATATATTTAATTGCTAGGTTTCAGCTAACCCGCATAGCCGTTTCCCACTGTATTGATTCCCCGAAAATCACATTACGCTGTATATTTCGAAAAAGTCGACAGCTAGACAGACTACTTGTCAAATTTTTCGGAGAGAAACGCATGTTACAAGCATCAAATTTATACTGACAGCCATATTGCAGAGGAACCTGAGTTTTGTCCCCCAATTTTACTCTCATTGGTGGATTATTTGCATCTTATAGATCGATGAACCAATCAACGTTTTCTTCGTGCAATGATCACATTAAGTTGCACATGCTTTATGCGTAGAAAGAAATTATGCCGCGTACACATACATTCTAGGAACACTACTTTCAAAATTATTTTATCATTCTTTAATAATAAAATCAGAATGCATATGTATGCTTCCTGTTATTCTCTTATTTTATATTTCTATTTGATTTAATTATTCATGATTTTTGGTGAATTCTTTTTTACATTTTTATATATCGTTTTAAAAATTTTATATTTACATATTTAAAATTAAAATTATATAATTATACCATTTTATAAATTCTAATATATGAACAATTTCTAGTATAATAAACAATTTTTCATACACTTTTCAATATAAAACTAAAATTTAAGTTTGAAATTTCGATATACATTAGAGATTAAAATAAGAATATATATATGCAAATAATTTAAGATATTCATTATTTTTTCTAATTATTACATTGATTTATTCACTATATTGATATTATTTAATTTATATTTATTATTTTAAATAACAGAATTTTCTTTTTAAGTGAAATATAAAAAATATAAAAAATAATAAAAAATAAATTATGAAATATTAAATATTTTTTTATATTCTATGATTACACATAATTAAATGTTTGAATAATATTTATTTTACATTATAGATGTCTAAAATTGTTGACATTACTTTTGTTAACTAAATCATTACAATAGTATTTCATTTTGAATACATTTTTATATGTAAAACATTGATAATATATAATGATTTAATGATATTTGTAATTTCTATGTCCCCCTGAAAATGAAAATGTACAATATAATATTAATATGCTAATTTTTATAATTAATAATCAATTATAAGATTGTATATAAACTTACTGAGACGCAAATAATTTGCGCAATAACCAAATATTGAACCTAAAACGGCAGCTTGATATAATGGAGCCATGTTTGCTTTCCTGGGGTGTATATATTTTAATTGCCAACGCCAATGTGCTGTAATTTTATTATAATTAGAATATATTTTAATATTTGTAACAATATTATAATAATAAATTTTGGTTTTATAACATAAGAAAATATTAATGACTGATACATAAATTTTTATGAAATTTTATATAGTTTGATTTCAATGAATTATATAAAGTTTTATAAAAATCTATATATTAATCATTAATGTTATCTTGTAAGTTAATTTTAAATATTTCTTTGAATATATAAAAATATATAGAGAAATTATTTCAATTGATTTAAAATTAATTTTCTTGATAATATTATGTACATATAATAATGAAGATTTTAATATAAGTATTATATAATTTGTGAACTATATATATATAAAATGACTTTATACCTCGAGAAATTAATGCTGCAAATTGTCTTAATCCTTTTTCACGTCGACTAAACCATGCTGATAATTCACCAAGTTTGACATCGCCAAATGGTGTATCAGCTATAAGAATAAATAATAATTAATATATTTAATTCATTTACAATTAAAGAAATAGTTGAAAATGATTTGTATCTTACGTTTCCCGTAGTATCGAGAAGGATCATATGGGCCATGTTCTGCAGGATTATATCCTTCGGGATAACAACCCCAGGATTTAAATTTGATTAATTCAGTGAATTTATTTTCTTTAATCGTCATTATAAAATGACTAAATTATTTAACACGTACTTATACTTCGAACGTTTCGATGAATAAGTAATATCGCATATAGGTTATTTCGGATACAGAATATACAATCACTTAAAGACAAAATCCCTAACTATATAGTTAAATTATTATATAATATTTTTGCTAGTAATTTTATAAAAATTTAATAGTGATATTATTCATAATAATCTTAAATTTATTATATATTTATTTGCAAAATGAATTGTGATAATAACATAATAAATATAATGTTAGTTATTAATTTTATTCAATATTGATCAAGAAAATTTTTATTTTTAAATTTGAAAACGCACGGTTTTATTCATACATATATCTAATTTTAAAAATTTTATTTACTTCAAATTTATTTAAAATTTTTATTGTAAGATTTTATTTATATTAATATTATAAATGACTTAAAGTTTAAATTTTATGGAATAAGTATTAAATACACATATACATATTTAAGATAATAATGATTTAATTTCAAAATAAACATTCAGTAACTTTTTCATTAAAATAAATAACTAACATGCATAGAAATTATTTTTTAATGAAAATTATATTTTATCATTTGCTAATTAATTTTAAAATCTGATATTAAATTTATAAGTTACCTTTACATGCAAAATTTATATTGCAGTAGATATCAAAATCTTGACAAAGATAGAATATAATTCTACAATGCTTTTTTAATTTTAAAATAATTTTTAAAATGTATTGTTAATTATTAAAAATTATTAATTATTAAATTATTGAATTCTTATTTAATAAATTCTCAAGCCATAGATGTAGATACTAAAAATAATATTTATATATCTTCGACTTCTATTTAAGCGTATTGAATTTTTAAATTTTTAATTAAAGTACATATGTACGACTGTAATTACATGTAAGATAATTGATATTTGTGCTCGTTGTTGATCAATTTATTTCTCTATTTCTTATTACTATCACTAGCCTCTAGTGATCATTAATTTTATTATATTCTTATATTATTATATTTTTATATTTTTCGGATAAGGATTACTTTTCTCCCTGAATTCAGTAGAAAGTTGGAAAATTTGCGATCACTTTTTTTTTAATATTCACTTTCCATTCAATGAATTTATGTCATGAAGTTTTATATTCTTGTTAGTTTCCAAAATAAATCAATTTTTAAGTGATGGAAATCATTTTTCAAGGTTAAAGTGACAATGAAACTTAATAAATATAATTATAAAAGTCGCTTCTTCAGAGATTTGTTTTAATTCATAAATATATGCCAAACACTTTTTTATTCGAACAAGAGCGAATTTTAATTTTGTCTTGTAAATATAGCTATTTTGAAATTTTTAGTATTTTTGTTTCAAAAGTTACATATTTAAATAAAAATAAAATTGCTCGTTTAAAAAATTGTTTCATTTAATTGTGAAGAAAATTTCTCATTAAAATAAATAATGTTATAATAAAAATATTTATCAATTTTTTAAATATGTATAGTTATTCGAATAAGTTTAATTAATAGATTGCGGATATTTTATTATTAATATTAATTTAAATTCAGTTTTATTATATTTTCATTTTTTATAAATAAATGGAAAAATGAAACCTGAAAAAAATTTGTATTTATTACGATAAATATTTTACTTTGGATATTTTTTCCATTTTTGTATATTACATATATTACAAATATTCTTTTGCATCTTTAAATTTCCCATAAATACATATACATATATCCGCATTCTATTGATAAGTTTTATATTTTTCAAAAAATTAAATTTATTATTATTATTAGGATTTTAGAAGGCCAATAAATTCTAAAAATATATATATTTCGAAGATAATTTCACATATTATATTTTTTAAAAAAATGTTAATCATATGAATTTCTTGAAAAATTTCAATAATATTGGTAATTTAATTGTCTTATTAAATCAAATTTTTCAAGAAAATTTCATTGATTATAATTTTCCTATTTTTATTTTTATTTTCATATTTTCAATTGTTAGTATTTTTTTTTAATAAATTTTTTTCATTACAATAAATTAATTCTTGCAACACCTTTTATTATTTTAATTCAATACTTTTGAAAATATGTATGTATATCTGTTCATAAAAACCAAGATCTTTAATATTTTTTAAATTTTTAGTGTTTGAATTAAAACGTTTCTAAACGGAAGCAGCAACTTCCTGTTCCATTTCATGTAGCATATTATATAATCGTGTTTTGAGATTGTCTGGTACTGCAGCACGTGGTAAATGCTCGATGTCACCAGCTGGATTCGCACATTGTCGCAAAAGAACCGCCAGTGAGCTGGTGGTATGCTCTGACATTAATAGTCCAGGAATTATAAGAGTCCCTGAGAGAGTCCAACCGAGAAATATTTTCTCGCATATAATCTGAAATTGAATAACCATTTAGCAATAACAATTAACTTTTCCGATATTAATTTTATTATTTTTATAAGTTATATTTAATTTATAAAATATATATGTGTTAATAAAATATGTTTTAACTATATATATGTATATTTCAATTATTTGTAATTTGAGAATTCTGAAATAAACTGAACAACAGAATTTTTTCAGATTAACTTAATTAACTAATTCATTAATCAAACTATAATTATTAATTACTTGTAAATTATTGTTGGCAACCGGTGACTCGCATCGTTTCTTTTTCGAGCAGAAAGACCTGCAATCAAAATAATCACAGTCCTCGTGTTTTTCACAGCTTTTGCTGTCCGCAGTGATACGGCTGATAATCGTTTTAGGAAATACCGCGTCCAGATCGAGGAACTTGAGTTTCTGCCCGCCTAAGGGCAAACCGAAATGGTTTATCTTCACATCGCACAGATGTATCGGTTCGGGAAAGTTGGTGTCGAGTTCTTCGAGCAGGTCTAGTATCATCACGGCCAGCTTCAATCGTTTCGCCCATTCCGGTTTCGAATCGGAGAGCGCGAGAACTGTCGTGGGTGTTTCTATAGGTCGTACGTATTCAACCGCGTAGAATGTCCCGCATGTGCCAATCAACTGTGGAAAAATGTCCCTGTCTTCGTACAGAATGCTCATCAGATACTCGTTTTCCTGTAACAGCGGCCACAGATTTTCCATCTCAAGCTGTCGCCTTCTGGGCTCGGTTTCAACACGATGCGTACGAAGTCGCGCTAGCCTCTCTAATTGATGCTGAGACAGCGTCACGTTCAGCTTGCTAACGACCAGATCTTTGATCATGGTGTTGAAGTCCGTCTCGGACGGGAAGTGCCTCGTTCCGCTCGTGTCCGTCCAAAACAACGATTCGAACTGCTCCGATGGGGCTTTCGTTCTGAAATTGCAATCATGTATATCGTGTACATTTCCGTTATTTATATATGATAAATTGGCGTATAACTTTAATTTTAATTTTAAAAATAACTTTAATTTTTAAAATATTTTTAGAATTTTGATAAACATTTTGATAATAAAAAATTTTAGAATGCAGCCATCATTTTTAATTTATAATTTTTTTTGAATTTATATAACATAAATCAAGATGATTTTCTTGATAATTGATTCAAAAACAGTTATATTTAATAGCAATAAAAAATTAATTAATTTTTTAAATTTTTCTTATACAGAAGGAAAGGAGATCACAAATAATATCACAAAAAAGGTTTTTTTTGAAAAAAGTTGGAAAACACTTCATGTGATATATATCATGAAAGAAAGAAAAATGAACCTTGAAGCCTTGAACACAAGTCGAGTTGTCTCCCAGTGAGCCGAGAAGACTGCTTCTTTGCCCGCGTGTAGTGTTTCGCAGGCAAGCGAGTGAATCCTTCTTTCCGCACATAGTGGATCGCAGAGAATTCCTATTGCAGCTCCTTTTTTGTGCGTGCTGCACTGAAATGAGAATAATGATCAGATACCGTAAGAATAATTCGCATTGTAAAAATTCTTTCAAGTATAATCAAATTATCGTCGAATCACTATATTTCATTTTTTTAAAATTTAAAAATTTTTTCACAATACGATCTCGTTACTATATTATTCTCCTTTTTACATATTTTTCATTTACAATATTTTTACGAGCATTCTTATGACAAAAGGGTTATGTCAAAAACTCGGTAAAACATCGAACTGAAACAGGGAATTTTTTTAAACCAATTTTATGATTGAGGAAATTTTTCGCAAATCAGATTTCGCCAGTTACTTCCTTTAAAACATTATTTATTATACATTTATTTTTTGCATTATATTCACTCATAGTTTATCATCCCGTTTAACATATAACAGTTTAATACAAACAAGATGGCAAGAACACATATATAAACTACTTTCTTTAAAGCAATATAATTTTACTTTTTCTTGTTTTGAAACGTCTGTGATTTGTATATATATAATATTTTTTTCTTATATTATTTATTATGAATATATAGATATTTTAAAATAAATAATAATAAAATATAATAATAATTTATTGCTTTAGAAAATTCGTTTATCCAAAGGAAAATATAAAATCGTAAATATGAATCGTTTCTTTGTGCAATTTCCTCAATGAAATCAAGTTTCATTCAAGATTACTTGGACGTCGATGACGACAATGGTATTTGAATCGCTCGAGCGATCTCCGTTCGCATGTAAAAGTCACGGTTTAAGGGATATTCCGTTTGCGAAAAGTGTATAGGTTAGGTTTAAGTATCATATAAGTTTGTTTTCTTACGTTTATTGCGAACTTGAGAAAACAGATTCCGGCGAGAGTACACTATCAGTCAAAAGTTTTGAATCACTAACATAATCCAAGATTTCAAGAATCGAAACAAGAGTTAGGTTAGAATTTTATTGTGTCGAAAAATTTTTTCATGAAGGATCTATCGATATAAATGAAATTATTATTGATATCTATAGTGTTAATTATACTTACTAATAATAAAATTGACAAAAGGTTCAATGTAAATATATAACTGGAAAAAAGATTTCAAATTTTTGATTGGTAGTGTATGATCTACACCTACGAAACATGTTATGTTCCTCGTTATGTTATTTTCTTCTAAAAGTCGTTCTGGAATGAAGTAAAATTATTGTGAGAGAGAAGATACATTGTTTAAGAGATTACCATAAACAGAATAAAGAAATATTGCGAAACTTTGGCCGAATAATGGGTTAGTTTTTTCCTTCAACCATTCACTTAGAAACTGTTTATAACATAATTTATCTTAATATTAACAATAGCATAATTTATCTTAATATTATCTAATCTAATATCTTAATACTTAATACTAAACAAATCCTATTATGATCAATTATGTAATGTGTGTCGCAAGCATTTAATTAAAGTGCAAAATATGTTATTTGATAAAATTGTTCAATTCTTTTTAAGAAAAGACTAATTCAATTATAAAATTTTTATTAAATTCAATAAATAAAAACTCATATTTTGACTGTTGTATCATATATATATATATATATATATATATGACTTATCATATATATATATATATATTAAATATTTTAAATTTATATTTATGAATTTTATATTATTATATGAATTCTTTCATTTGATGTTTCTGCAATGTATGTATTTTTCATCCAGAATATTCATAGAGTATTCAAAATTTATGAAAAAAGAAATAATCTTTATCATTGTCCCAGAATCACAAGTATGAATACTTGAGCAAGGCGAAAAAAAGAGAAAGAAAAAAAAAAGAGGGTAGAAGTAGAAAGTTATAAAACGAATTACGGAATCACCACTTATGAAGCTTCAGCAAGCAAAGGAAATGAACCTTCAATGTAATACAAAAAAAAAACAAATTTGTGATATTGCTAAAAAATTGTTAATCGAATTCAGATTTTAATAGTTTAAATTTTACTAGTAATTTTTTTTCCATTATTAAAAATTACAAATATTAAAAGAGAATTTTGCCTTTATTTTGTTTTGTTTTTTATTTTCAAAAACTAAATAAATAAAAACCTAAATAAACAGAAAAATAAATATATATTTTAATCACAAGAATAGGAATTTCGTAGATAGGTATTTGATTTCTTTTGCTTGAATTTTTATGTTTGATCCGTGAATGTTCGAACATCGGCCGGAATGAGAGTAATAAAAGTGAATTATTCTCTCACTGTGTGGGCGATGCTTGGTTATATACAACTACATGTATTCGTACACGTAACTCGTTTCACGTGCATACAATACAAGTTTGAATCCTGTACGTTGACTATGCAGACGATATTTTTAGTCGACGTGAGCGCCATGATGAGAGAATTTCTAGAAGCGGCCCCCATAACAAGCGTGTCACGCGTCTTTATGTATCGTAACGGATTGTATCGGATTGTGCTTTTTCGAAAGCCATCGCTTTTTAACTGGGCCATTCTTTATTATCGAGCGAAGCCGAGATCTTACGTTTTTTTTGTATGTGTTTTCCAACACATCCACAATTTGAAAACTGCGATGGAAATTTAAGGGACAATATAAAGTAACAGAAAAGTTTGTTTTGTATTATCTATATTTTAAATTATTTGGAATTCAAGATCATAAAAAAAATTTCATAAACATCAAGTTTAAGAATAAATTTTATCTCGATAGAAGATATAAAATTCATAATTCATGATATATAAAATTTATGTTATGTTGATAGTTAAATGAAAAAAACATTTGATTAAAAAAAATTGATATCTGGAATATATATATTTTTTATAATTATTAATATTCTATTTAAATGTTATATATTTTATATATTATATTTATAGTATAGTCTCAAAATATCAAGATAAGAAAATTTTATAAATATAAATAATTTATATAAAATATTTTGAATGATATTTGTTTGAATACATATATAATATATATATACTATATACATATCATTGATTATCATTATAAAACACCATTAACAAATATCTTGGTGCTAAATTATCTAATAGTAAACAATTAATTTATTTTATATTTTTATATATATTAAATATTATTAAAAAAAAAACACTAGTGATAATTTAACGGGAGGTATTTAAAAACATTTTTTTTATGACCTCGAGTTAGATAATGTATTATATAAACAGTTTTGTTCTTAATATTCCAACATGATAATGCTGGCATGAATGTAATGAGTAGTGACACTAAGTTGGTATTCGATGCTTCGTCACACCGATGCAACCAGTGTCGATAAATTGAATTTATAACTACATTCGATGAATTTTTTCTATAGCACAAGAATATTAATCTACTTATCGATCATAGAAAGTTAAGCGATTGTAACAGACGTATAAGTTATTCTCAGTCAAAATTATTTATTTTTTAAGAATATTGATATTATTAAAAGATAAACGATGAACATGATTCGATGAATTAACGATTATTATTCGTATAAATCTAGTTTCCATGGAAGACAAAAAATTGTAGTTACATGATGTTAATCTACAATGAAAATCTACATAACTGGAAAATCTTTTAAATTGCATTTAAGTGAATATTTCTAATATCTTTAACAGCCATACGAAGAATTGTATAAATTATAAAGGAATCTTTTATAATTTTAAAAAATAATATTTTATGATTGCGATGTGAATATAAAGAGATATTTTTAATATTCATATTCAAAAATAATGAAATATATCTTTGTTTACGATTTTTAATTTCTATAAAAAATAAATAGAATGCACTATTCTCTTCATAACCATATACAATCCCAATCATTTCTCACAAAAACTTAAAAAAAAAAAAAAAGAAAGATTTCACAATTAATTTTCATCATTTATCACTATTAACGCAAAAAGTCCAAAAAGAATTTTCTTGAAACAATCTATTAATGGAAAATCTATTTTTCTATTTAGTTAATAAGGTACACATAGAATGGATGTATTAACTGAAATGTAAATAAACGAAACTCTGATTTGTAGAGACGAGAACATTTCCCCCTCTACTTAACCGATGATCACTAAATTTCAAACATTTGATTGGTTGTATCTAATAAGCATTAAAGAGAAGTCCATAACGGTTAGAAAACAAATGACAACGTGAACTCAGGAGGTTAAAGATGAACGTAATGAACTAAATAGTTTCTATCCGAGTTTCGTATTTAGGTATACACGTGAAATTGCATCCTGGCATAGAATCAGTCAATTTCGTACACGCCGTGAGGGCGCGTGCGTCTCTTCGTTCCCTGTCCCTTTCTCTCTACCCTCTTTCTCGATTTTCACCCCTTCGAGAGCGTACCTCCTGAAGTGTGATCCTAGCGCGACCTGTGTATACGCGCCTGTACGCGCTGCGTGTACTCTGTGACTGACAGTGATTCGAGTATTCTCTTTTTCACTCACCACGTTGGATACGTGTCGCCAGGCCTCGAGATTCGTGCACATAATACCCCAGTGAAGGAGTAGATAGATGACAAAAAGCATGGTCGTGAAGAGGAGCAGAGTGATCACCTTGTAGTGGTACATGAAACCAGGGAGCCGTCGGATATTCATGATCCCGAAGGCTACTTCTATCTTAGGTAGGTCGATAATTATTTATTATTTATTGAGACGAGAACGTGATCCTTTTGTTTTCTTTTTTTTGTTTTTTTCAACTCTTTTGAAATATTCTTCGTCGTTATTGTCGTTCGATATATTTGTTTCTCACCAATTGTATCGTCGACGACGTCCGCGACGGCGCATCATGAGAACATTTCGCGTTTAACCTGGTCGCGTTCGGTTCATTACGTTGATTTTTTTCGACCTTTTTCTCGACGACACGATCGTCGACCGACCGGTGCCGTACGCTTGTGGCAATGCGGCATAATCTGCGGCACATGCGAGCGTCGCGACGCCGCGCCTCTCGTGGCGAATTTTTCGACAATGAGTATTGCGCAGGCTCGTAAGTATGTATTTAGACCAGTTCACAGAAAAATTCGAATTTCGCTCGATTATCATTTAAACGTTACGCGGACAATTTTTTCGTACAAACGATAATCTAATATGTATTGAATAAAGAGAAAATAGAGATTATTTTTGATGCGTTTGATATAATTATTATATATTATATCATATTATATATTATTATGAATTTAATATCGTTGATTGTGTCTTAATTTCCGATACACATCGAAAATGTTTTACTACACAAATATATTTTCAGATTGAAAAATTTAGCAAAATTAATTAAAATTGTATTCGATTTATCGTTTTTTTTATATGAAATTGAAAGATTCCTAGCGATTCTATATTATTATTCGCGATTTCGGAATTGTTTATTTAGAAAATAGTTTTCAAGTAGAATCATCTTTTCATATTAAACACACTCGTCACATTTTTAGGAATCGATATATCTTCATCGAATAGAATTAAATTACACTAAAGAAATGCTCGCATTATTTTAAATTAAAAGTCATTTAAATTGCATTTAAAGATTAACTTGAAAAATATTTTACATTCGCGCACGACGTTCTATCTCCAACTGTTCTACATTTATATTTGCTGGATGTTTTATTTTTTGCTTCTTCATCATCATTGTGTATTATATAGTAGCTGTATCATAGTATAGCTTGTTTCAAATGAACCGGGGAAGCTTTTAATTGGAGTCCATCTAGTGCTGCCTCCTTTCTCATGCTACGAGATACGTACGTACTTACAATTAGAAATAACAAAAACTGAAATCTTATGATCAATAATACAATGAATGAATTTTTGATAAATTTCTTTCCCATGCAAATTTTAGAAAAAATACATAAAATTCTTCATTTTATTCATTTATTTCTATTTATCAAATACATGAGTAAATATCATCAAATTAATAATAAAAAAAAAATTTTAATTAATTTGCTAATATATTTGTTGACAAATATTTGAATAAATTTTATGAAACAAATATGTATACACATATATACATACATATTCTTCATTTTAGCTATTCATAATGCATGAAATATTAAAAAGATATTTAACAATTCTTATAAAATTCCTCATTTTCTAGTGGTCGTGATCTTCCAGATTTATCGTCATAATCATTTTCATTTGCACAATTTATTACCCAGAAAACAATGTTTTCAATATTATTTATCTATACACGAATTTAGTTAGGATTGAAAACGGTTACAGATATCTCCTCTTGTAACAATCACAATCGCTCAATATATCCATATCGATTCCCGTTTCGCATCCCGATTCACAATCGACATTACACAATCTAAGAAAGATCACGTTTCGATCCATCTCCAAGCCAAACTATCGCCTAACCTACCGACGCTTGTCGCTTCGACCGCTTTTACATGCGGATTCCCTATACCTATACCTATCCCCTCCCTTCGAATCGCTTGGCGGTCGCGGCGTTTGACACGGGCGGCATCTTCGGCCCGAACGATTGGCGTAGCATCGCGTTTCCAAATCGCGCGCTTGTATCGCGAAAGAGGGACGCACCTGCATGCCGCCTCGGCGCGCAGCTGCGACCTTCGACGCCCTTGTACCAACGGTCGTGCTGTGCGACGCCCGTCCTCCTCATTTTTACGCCGGACGCACGCACGGTCACGCGCGTGGATCGTTTCTCGCATCTTCGTCCACTATCTCGCTTCGTCCATTCTCTTCGCCTGTCCCGCGAATCCATCCTTCCCGCCTAACCTCTCGCCCCTCTCTTTCCTTTCCCGCGGCCAAAGGACGATACTGTGATCCTGCGAAGGAAGGGGAAAAAAGTGTGATTCGGTGTTTCGGCAAAGATCGGCCGTTTCCGCCGGTACGTACCGGTAGTGCGCAATAGAATCGTGCCGTGTTTTCGCGAGTGTATTACGGTGATCGGCCCTCTGGAAGGGGCATCGGCGAAAGGATCGGCTGGCGGAAAGTCGGTGAGTGGCGCGTTTCCACCAACACGCGTTCGCTTCCACGCTTCTTCCTTGTTTACTTTGAACCACCTGCGCGACAGGGGTGGTGGCGAGGGGTTGGCCGCTCCCATGCGAAATCACAGGAGTAAAATTCTCAATGATAAACTCTCGGTGTGAAATTCAAAGTGTTGAGAAATCAGTGAAATCGGAGTGAGATTTGCTAATTTTAGAAATGGAATTAAAAAATGGTTTAAAAAAAAACCGCTTTAAAATCGCGATTCTTGATCTTTGTTAAAGGTCAAGGATGTGTGGTGTGCATTTTGCAGGCTATTATTATTTTTGCTTTTTTTGGAGGGGAGAGAAGGGGAAGGAAATTAACAGTCGATTGTAACGAATGAAGAGAGAGAGAGAGAAAGAGAGAGACAGAGTTACAATTAATATAGGATAGAATTTTAAAAAAATTAATTACAATTGATCGAGTATTGAAAAAAATTGCTTTTTGAATGAAGTCGCTGTAAAATTATTGTGAAATCACGTGAATGTTGAGATCACTCGAGTGCTTTCCCTTTGAGCAGCCAACCCCTCAGATAAAGATCTTTGTAGAATAAACTGTAATTTATTATAGAGCTTTCTTGCACGGTTAATATTATTAGAGACGTTTTACGTGTTACGAATATAATAAATAATAATAAATTCTTGATAATTTAGAAATCGATATTAAATTTTAAATTTCAGATTAATGATTAATAGTGGATTAATAATAAGAATGATAATAATAAGTGATGGTAATAAATTTGTTTGGATAACTGTATAAAGTTTAACAACAAGACAAGCAACAATAATTTTTACTAACTATTAGTTTATTGATTGTTTGATTTCACACGTAAAAATATTTATAAACAGAATTTATTACAATTTCTTAATTTATCATTAGATTACTCAATTTCCATGCAAGATATGATCTTCTCGAGAATTATTTAATCATATTCGTTCAATTCCTACTTGTTTATAGGAAAATTCGAGATAAAATAGTGGCAATAGTGGAGTAAGAATCGGATTTGGAATTTTTCCATAGTTTAACGTTTCAACTTTCGATTCGATTTTTATCAATTATTTCTCCTTATCACGGCAAATTATAAAATGCAAAATATAAAAGTGTTTGAAATTTTGTGATCGAAACTATACTATTACGATGCCAATGGCATAGTTGGCCATTTAGTTAGTTGATGCAACTTGTGTTAAATATTTCTGTTTTCATTATTATTGGACATACGATCGAATTAGATTACTTAAATTGTCTTGAAAGGGGGAATCTAATTACCAGTATATCCTATATCTATTCTATTACATCTAATTATAATTATTTTGATAATTGATTTTGCATATTGTGTTAGACAATATCAAAATTGTCTCTGTTGATGAATCAATAATTGGATTCGAATAATTTTACATTTTTAACCAATACAACATGATCATTATCTTCTTCTTCTTCTAATAAATGTCTGCTATAAAATACGAAAAAAATCATTATCATATATTATTTATATTTCCTTTCATTAATTATAACCTCCATTAAACGTTCTTTTATTTACATCAGAGACAATTTCTAGAGACAAATATTCCATAGAATTGAATCCCTTTATCTTTATTTTATTCGATAAATCACCGTATTTAAATCTTCTTTATCGACCATTTAAAAAAGAAAAAATCCCAAATAAATATTCCAAAAATATTCATCTCGAATAAAAAATTCTCCCGTCCCACATATAACGGAAAAATATGTCACGTTGTGTTTTTACCGAGGAAGAACTATAAATAGTTAGCACGAGAAACACGCTCGTGATCAAATCTATGTATACTTTCGCGAGTATTATTATATATGTTACGCAATAATTATCCTCCTGGTGCATCGTCGACGATTATTGTTGAACTTGTCGAGAGCATCGAATAAAATTTACGTATTTACGCTTTAAAAAATATCATCAATATCGTTATTCGTACGGACCGATCCGTAAAATTTCCCAATTAAAGTTACGCGAAATATATTTCTCTTAAATTATTATTTATTACACCAACAAAAAAAAAAAAAAAGAAAGAAAAATAATTGGAACGAAAACTTTTTCAAACTTTTTGACTTTATCAGATTCGTTTTCTTTCTTTATTAAAAAAAAAAAAAACTGGTTCAAATACGTAAATATATATATATAGCTGCGCATACCTCTGCTTCTGATCCACTTTCGAATGCAATCGAAAGAAATCTAATAGATTGCTGCAGATTCGTATCGCGTTACAACCCTCTTACAAGTGTGAACGCGCGTATCGCGTTTCGATACAGGAGCTTTCTCAAATATCGTGCAAATTAATGCAACTGATAGTAGGAAATGTTACGTGGCGTTCTTGTTCCGCTACGAGAGCCGAACCTCTTATCCACTCTTCAATTTATTCGACATTGGTCGGGTGTGACGTCATACCTCGCGAATCAAAACAAATTATAGAATATTCGACGTTTTCCGTTGTTTCAATTGATCGCCACTCGTATCCTCATTCAACTTTTAAAGCCAATTTCTCAATAATCGAGTTTCGTAGTGGAATTGCTTCGTAAATTTTGTTTCTTTTTTTTTTTTTTTTTTTTACGAAGCTTATCCACAAAATGATGAATTATAAATATATATATATTTTTTATTTTACAATCATTGAGAATAAAAATTTGTTCATTAGTTCTTATAACTTGTGGTTCTACGATCACTAATTGAATATTCATTAATAATAAATTTTTTTTATTCGAATTAATTAGAGATATTTGTATCGTCACAATTTTCGAATACGAAATTAATTCCAATTAGGGATAGTTGAAAATACGAGTTGAAAACGTCGATTTGTTTTGCGAGCGAAATGGAGAATCGATCAATGCGCTCGTACAATCCAACAATTCTCCCTCGCTTTTCCTCTCTATCGATTCGATTAAAACGTTCGATGCTCCTTCATTGCGTTGCAACGCCTAGCGATGAGATCAAGTTCAATACGTATTTATAAATCAAATCCAAAGGGAAAATATTCGATCATTATTATTATTATTATTACTTAACGAAGATATATCTCGTTTTTATGAAGTATTCGATAGATTGATTCTAAACTTCAGAATCGATTATAAGTTTTGAAAATCTTACAATGCTTGGATATTATATAAAAATATTAGATAGATGGAGAGAGATTTGATTTTGAATTCTTACATTATGAACTTAAGAAAATTATATTTGTGCAATTATATGATTGTTAATTATATTTTGATGCGAAAAGATATGTTGAAAAAATTCACGTTCAATTTTGATTAACAAAAATCTCTGCTGTTTCAAATTTCTTTTCTAAAAAAAAAAAAAAAAGAACTCAATTTTATCAATTGCGAGTTTAATTCATTTTTGCAAAAATATGACACTTGTTGCAATAAAAAACACATCGTTTCTAAAATTGATCAAACATAATATAGAAATGCTAATTTTTTAAAATCTGTTCCGAAATTTCTTAATTTCTAATTTACATCATCTTTAATATATTTATATTAGAATTTTTTCTTCTAAAAATTGAAGATTAATATTAATGAAATTCGAAAAATATATTATAAAGTTAACATTTTATTTGTTGATTATATAAATTTCTGAAAGAAAAGATTCGAATCTGAACTCTGTCAATATGAATCTGTTCAAATCTTATCTCGCGATGTGCTCAAACCCATCACTATCGGCATGTAACGACCGCGTGTCGCTCCTTCCAATGTATACGCGCCATGATTGTTTAAATAATAAACGAAGATAGCATTGTTATCGCTATTCTCGGTTGCTCCGATTAGCAATCGGGATTTTTCTAACTTTTCTAAAGTTGCCCTGCTTCTCGCAGATGTTCACGCTTGCTAGATCAATTAGAAAATAATGTTGCATTTTTGGTTCAACGATATCGCGCTTGTTTTCCACAACTCTTGTACAGTTTCGTGTAATTGTACCGGTTTCATATAGTTGATAGACAAACGTTTAAGTTAAATAATACTGAATAGTGCACGATTCTATGTATCCATTTCTTTTTTCTTTCGTTTCTTTTTTTTTTTCCACATCAATAGATATTATAATAATGTAATAACAGTATATTATGTAAAATCATAGTGGAGTCAAGTACAAATTATTTTTCATATACAGTTATTTTATAAATTTTTAAATTGTGATTAGTGTATTAAAATAATACAGTAATTCAAAGATTTAATTTAATTTTCTTTACTATCTGATTTTCAATCTTCAATATATATACTATTTATTATATTGTAATATGATAAGTATACAATACAATGGGAATTTATATATTATAATATCATTGTTGTTATGGTTTATATTTAATAGATAAACAGTTAATTTAAGCAAAATTAAATAATATTGTAATAGTATTCATTCAGGTTATTTCTTTTTTTTTTTCCATATCAATAGATATTATGATAATAACAGTATATTATGTGAAATCATTGTGGAATTTGAATCATGTACAATATTATTTTTCATATACAGTTATTTTGTACATTTTTAAATTATGATTAATGTATTAGAATAATACAGTAATTCAAAGATTTAATTTAATTTTCTTTACTATCTGATTTCCAATTTTCAATATATATACTATTTATTATATTGTAATATGATAAGTATACAATATAATACAATGGGAGTTTATATATTATAATGTCATTGTTATTATGGTTTATATTTAATAGATAAACAGTTAATTTAAACAAAATTAAATAATATTGGATAGTGCACGATTCTATGTATTCATGTATACATCTATGTATACATTTTTAAATTGTGATTAGTGTATTAGAATAATATAGATATAGAATAATATATAATTCAAAGATTTAATTTAATTTTCTTTACTATCTATTTTCAATCTTCAATATGTATACTATTTATTATATTGTAATATGATAAATATATAATATAATGGGAGTGTATATATTATAATATACATAATATCACTGTTGTTATATG